CCAAACCCATAGTATCCCCACGAACTTCGTTCGGGGGATACAATAATAACTTACTGTTAAATATATAAGTTCTATAGACGATGGAATCCTTGGTGTTAAGAACATGGGTCTAAACATCAAAACAAAGTCTCTATCTTCCAACAGTTGGTCAGTTATGGTGATTTTACGGTTGACCTCATTATGCATGGCAACCATATTGGATTTCTGGCAGTCGAAAGGATGGTAGGGGTTTGAATCCATGCCAGATCAATCGCTTAGTGTCGAAAACATGGGTCTAGACACACGAATGAAGTCTCTATGTGGATTACTAAGAAAGATATTCTTGATTTTGTGATTTGACATAAGAAATATGCTAATTAGGCCGATTAAGCAAAATGCTACACATATGCAAATTAGCATCCGGCAGTTTCTTAGTTCTTATGACCTTTATATTGCATTTCCAACATAAAACCTTATAGTACTCAACATTTCTAGGTTCAGTAAAGAAGACATAGGGGTGGCTAGTGGACTATATGTCAGATGAGCTAATAATTGGGAAAAAAAACAAAAACAATATCAGTAAAAAAATCCCTGATATTGGGGGTCTACCAGACAGCATATGTGAATAAAGAGAATGATGGCTCCAGACACAATCTAGGGGGGTCTCTGTACAAACACACCTCGTCGACTTTCGACAGTCTCCAGTCTGTGTATGGGACTGCTGACTAGCTTCTGTACGTGTGGCATCAGGACAGCAGCAGGAAACAGCAGAAGAGCGAGTGCATGTGTGTGCATTGTGCGTGCGTGCACGTGAGATGATACTTACAGTCCATGGGTTTTTAGTGATAGCCGCTGGCGGTCAGACAGGAGAAGACAGAAGGCACTAGGTCTGAAAGCTATCCCTGAGCGAAGGCACACGCAGCCCACGGACTTAAATAAATAAACCGGCTGCATAGATGTACCTTCTACCAGCGGGGCCGTAGGCAAGGGAATGTCCCGTCCTACAATCGACATTCTTCGGGAATATCTTGCTGCCATTCTGCTGCACCGACCTGCAAGCGAAACCAACAATCGTCAGGCACGGGTGCTGCCACATGGTTTCGAAAATCCGACAACGACTAAAACAAACTCGATCGACTCCTAGTCCGCAGGCGAGAACAAGTGAGCGTCATCAGCAGACGTGTCACGCGATGGCAATGATGTTTGGACGGCGCATCGTTGTCATCATGTGATTTCACTCGACTGCTACATTGGATGACCGAAAAACACAAAGCTTGAGCGAAATCGAGCTGTGTGCGTGCGTATGTGTGTGGATGTACACGTGTTGTATCAAGTAGGTTGTAATATGTGTGTTTGTGCATGCGTCCGTGTTTGTGCATGTTTGTACTCTGTTTATATGTATATTTATATATTATGTATATTTCATAATTTGTATATATGTATACACCAGGGGTCGAAATTCGCTAAAAAAAACACTTGCGCCTGCCGCAAGTTAGGTTAAACAATTACTTGCGCCAAGAGATTTTACTTGCACCTACCTCCGTTGCTCTCCAAACTGGCAGTACCCCTTCCCTTCCTCCCTGTTTTAGTTTATGATTTATTCTATGTCTTCTGTGTCTTCCTGCTATGATTCAGAGTCATTTATACTTCAATTTCATACAGGAATCAAAATAAAATGGGTCTGACTTCTAACTACGTAAGTAGCTGGCATATCGTTGACTTGCGACAGCCGCAAGTTGCTACGAAACATCGCTTGCATTCGGTGAAAATCACTTATGTTTCGCAATCACTATATATAGCGAATTTCGACCCCTGATACGCACACCCACATATATATATATATATATGTATGTATATATATATATATTATACTGTGAGGGGCAGCAACGCCCATGATTAATTACCCGTATCTGCTGATGCACTGCTGGCCCTTGTTGCTCCCGTGCAGCGTTGACGCGATGTCTGACCGCGTGTGTTCCGTCATCGTGTTCTCATGCAGGTACAGCGCGTAGAACACGCGGTAGTGCATCCTGCAACAGCATAGGGACTAACCTCAGCTCTCTCATGCACCTCACATCTCACGTGCGCTAACCGCAACGTTAACCCCACTTCAGCGGGTCGGCAACGTATGACCAAAGGGCCAGGGGGCCGTTGTCAGAAACAAAACTAGTCTTGACATTAGTCTTAACATTAGTCTTAACATTACAGTTCGACCTCGTTTATCCGGCCACGTCGGGATCGGCACCCATCCGGATATGCGATTTATGCTCAAACACAGCATTTCTCTGCAGTTCAGTAGGGTTTATGCATGTGATAGCATGTGATAGCCCACGAGTGGAATGATGCAATCGCTGTGTGAGCAGCGCTCGATACATGTACAAGCGTATCGCGTGTTTATGTGTTCATGTTTAAGTTTTGTGCATGTGATAGCCGTATATACATGTACAAGTACATGGGCGTTTGGCATTTGGCTCTTACGGTAAGTGTTTGTTTTGTGAATGTGATAGCTGTTCGCTTTTATGATAATCGTGCGAGAATCATTGGTACATCGCGCGAGTTTTGAGTGAGATTTTTTGGTGGAAATAAATGAAATAAACAGAAAACATACACTGCGAGATTGCGGCCGGTTAATAGAGGTTCCCGGATAACTGGTGGCCGGATAAACGAGGTCAAACTGTAACTTTTTCTCATAGATTGTTAACAGAAACAGAGTGGCTATATATGCCAGGCAGCCAGCTAATATCTGACGGCTGCCGGGCACGGTCTTCGATTTCCTAAATGCCCAGCAGTTTTTAATTTTCAGCGTTATCTCAAGTAAACAAGGGTTAGTGTTAGGGTTAGGGTTAGGAACTGCCGGGCATTTAGGAAATCGAAGACCGTGCCCGGCTGCCGGTCATATAGCTACAGCTTAACAGAAACATGGTAAAGTTACCTAATGTGTAAACCTAACCCTAGTGACCCCATGCCACCAGCGGCATGACCCGACCTCTCGATGCAGCTCTGCGAAAAAGTTGTCTCTTCTCGTGTGCGCACTTACCAGCGGTTGATTCCCAGCTGGTCCTTAAATGCGAGAAGGAATGTCATTATGTGGCGATGCAGTACAAGCAGTCCAGTACCTCCAGAGCTCTGCAATCTGACCGGCCACGCGATCGGCAATGCAGTCACGGTTAGGGTCGCACAACTCAGGATTGCTCCCTGCAGAAACAGTAGCCCGAGTAAGCTCTGACTCATGATACTGATCAGTCATTTCCTGATGCTAACACTTAGTTACTTTACTAATACTATGTTATAATTACTAACCAAATTACGTGATATTGTTAGAGTGCAATTGTGTTGAAGTGACACCACAGGCACTTGAAGCGTCTCAATAAAATATAATGCTAAATAAATATGAAATCTATTTACTACCAAATTCTTAATGTTTCTATACAATCTTTCACCTATTATTGCCGACAGTTTCCTGTAAATTCCGTCGAAATCCTCTATGTGCAACAAACGCTACCGGCCGCCATTGCACACGCTGCACAGTGATAGTTAAATATATAGACGACCGTGCCACGGGCACCAGAATAACATAATGATAATAAACATACATTATATACATAGTAATTACAGAATTAACACACGCGACGGTTCCGCGTTCGTCCACCAGGTAGCGCCGTACCTTGCAGAAGTCGCAGGTCGCGCAGTCGGTCTGTCGGTGGCAGGCAGCGCACTCGACGCATCGACTTCACGCCGCGTCGCTCGCTGTCGTCGCCGCGCCGGTCCGACTTCTGCGAAACAATGACGGAGCAGATGTCATGACAAGCAGGAACAGATAAACATACATGTACACATATGTGTATATAGTATGTGTATGTGCGTGTGTATATGATAACGTGTACATATAATGTGATTGTGCATGTATATATATGCACACACTCACATATATATGTATATACGTATATGTGCGTGCATGCGTGTGTGCATGTGTGAGCTTGTGTACATGTATATGTATACAAGTGTAAATGGAACAATCTCATAGTCATAGTGCAGATTAAATCACATTACTGTCTATTACAATGTGTGCGCGTACCACACAGATGACCAGCTATGCTAGTGCGCAGTTAGTCCTGTGACATGTCACATGCGTCTAAACAGAGGAATTGCTCCGACCTGTGATTAGAGGATAAAAATAGACCCCGCCCACTCCCGCCGCATACGCTATTATGCTATGACCGGTAGGAACGTGTACTAACTATCATATGGAGCGAACAATTTGAGTTACATTTCTATAAATTCTAGCTGTTATAGACACATGTATGTCTTAGCCTTAATCTCTGTGAATTTTGAGTCTATTGAATTTAGACTACGGGAGTGGGCGGGGTCTATCTTTATCCTCCAATCACAGGTCGGAGCAATTCCTCTGTTTAGACGCATGTGTCCTGTGTCCCAGAACATGTGAACAGCTACAACAGACATGCCGCAGCACGCGACAACACACAAGAACGACAATCGACACAAAACGAACCTTCGAGTGTTTCGAGATACCCGCGTGCCAGTCGCTGTCGCTGCCGCTGCCATCCACCAGGTTGTCGTCGACGCACGTCGACTTCTCGCTCTTGTATTTGACGTGCAGGTTCGGATTACGTTCTGAGAAAGCATAGAGAAGTGATAGCGCGAACAAACACATAACAAAAAGATAAACATCATCCACACATCAAGCAACGCTGTTAGCGCCACCTACGTCATCATTACCATGAGAACAGCTAACAATGCACACCACTGCACGTATCTGTATCATTTATATAGATAGCTTTACAGTGTTACCGGTACGTCTTACCCACACATACTTAATGCTAAATAAATACGAAATCCATTTACTACCAAATTCTTAATGTTTCTATACTCTCTTTCACCTATTATTGCCGACAGTTTCCTGTAAATTCCGTCCAAATCCTATGTGCAACATACGCTGGCGGCCGCCATTCCTCATGCGGCTGCACTGTGCACATGCACTTACACTTATATATATATAGCAGGTAGGAAAGTGTGCTGCCCAAATTCGATCGACGCTCGCTGGATTTCACACGATTACAACACAAATATTCAACCATTCTACTCCATCTTTGTTTCTATTTCAACAACAGTGTTCACTTGTTATAAAAACATACTGTCTCTGTTCGTAACCGAGCTGTGTCACGCGAAATCACACAAAGACTGACAAAATTCTCGTGTTCGCTAACGTTGCCCAGTAAATGTAAATGGCTGTCAGAATCAGGAAACACCCACCTGCGCTCTTCGTGACCTCATTCTTGCGCCGCAACGCTGCAACGTTTTTGCAACGCTCCAATGGCGAGGCTCGTACGGGAGTTGGAAAGCAGTGCACCGCCTATAGCCCATAGACTGGTACTTGCTCCCACCTCTCGGCTTAGCTTAGTTACTTGATGGGTAATTGAGGTGGGAGCGAGTACCAGTCTATATAGCGCTGTACTTGCAGCCATTTACATTTACTGGGCAACGTTAGCGAACGCGAAAATTTCGTCAGTCTTTGTGTGATTTCGCGTGACACAGCTCGGTTAGTGTAGTGAAGCGGACATACCGCATGTATCATACAGGTTAGCTGAATCGCTGCACACGACATCCTTTGTGATGTTGTCTCCCTGCGCCCCCTGGTGTTTGGCAGGAAGTGATAAGCGCGGGCACGGACCCAAATATGGAACATGCAAAAACAGCGTCTGCCGCAACAACAACAGCAGATAAGAGTGAGAATGAAACTAACTGTAAACTGGATTTATTACGAATCGCCCAGACATGTCCTATTGTTCCTATATATATATATCGGATCCTCTAAACTTAGCCAGAGTCAACGCTACGAATGAGTGCTATATATTGTTACACATGTACAACATGTATTATAACACAGATACTGTATAGTCTGGTGGGTGGTGAATTACATCTGCAACTCCTTTCTGGACATGGCTGTGATCTGGCCGGTTATGTTGAATAGGGAATAGATGATGGTAAAAAATGTTGTATTTTTGTGTCCAAAAGAATCCAATACTATAGTTTTTTTAGAATTTGTAGTCATTGTAGCTTAATTTGCACAGTAACTGAATTCGGACACCCATGTATCATTTATTATTTGAGTTTTTCGGTTAAAATAAATCATGTTAGAAACTTGTGGTATACTATCATGCACTTTGTGCATCAACATTGTATATTGGTACGATGTTACTTCGTACAAGCCTCGATCTGGTGTAGCGAGGATGAATGCGATCGCAATTCGATGAGGCGAAAATTGGAGCAACCGACAATTTAGTGATCGATTTCTTAGAAATTTGTTCCCATTTGTGATCCAGCATGATTTCAGATGCGTGAAACATAAAAGGGCTTGAAACCCAGGACATAATATTGTCAGCGAGGAACTAAGAAAATATTATATAATATATATATGCACCGATTCATCGTAATTCGAATGTTTTACTTTTAGTGATTATGTCATTAATTTATTTTACTAAATCAATGGAAGAAAAATCGTTTCACGAAGTGGGCTGCACGTTGACAAGACAAACCTGACATCCCCTATAATAATGGCTATTACTAGTATATTAGTATTACTATTAGTATTAATGTTCCTACCTATAATGAGCCTGAGGGTAAGACCTAAACACAGATTACATGACATTCCGGCCCATTCCTATTTAACAACCCCAGGTTTAAAAACCCTAACCCTAACCTTAACTCTAACCAAACTCACGACATGGGTGTGTAAACGCTACTTGTACCGCCATTCCTGCACCTTTCGTAGAACATACCGGTACCCTAACTGTCAATTAACATTAACAATTCGTTCTCGATCCTTCATCATGATCATGTTCATCGGGCTGCGCGGAAACCAGGCAGAGACAGACACAAATAAAGATATAAATTCTCAATAACGGTAACGCCATCGAATTCACAAACCACAATTTTACAAAATCACACGAATTTACAATTCACAACAAGAACGAGCATGTCGGGTCGGCACGACTCTGTTAAAACATTAATTTTAGTAAGCTGCTCTGTGATTGGCTGGCTTGTGTTTTGCCTGCGTGCCGTGTGCAAAATGTTTGCCTAATTAGCATATAACTGCTGATATAGCCCACAGGCGCTGATATCAGCAAAAGGCAGCCGTTCATGCTGAAATGGA